TGGGGATTTAGGGTTTTGCAGATTCGTCAATGGAGAGCGAGATGATGGCGGGGTCAATAAACGAAAGAGAAAAACAAGAAGCAGAAGCAAAAAGAGATGAGATGATGGGTTGGTCACCTAAACCATAGAAATTTACAGAAGAAGCTGAAGTTTCCCTTCGCCTGGAAACGAGAACGAGAGAGTGAACACGAAGAACCTTTTGCTTTCCTTTTTCATTTTCGACCTGAATGTGAATGTTAATAGACTTGCCGGGATGGGTCTACGGTCGGGTTCCAGTTGGGTCAGTTCTCAAAGTCTTTTTTTTAACTAAGCTGACTCAGTTTTATTGACTGCCAACTTGGCACTTCCGTCGGCCACGTCATCAAAAAACGAACGACGTTAACAGAGTCGGAGAGTTAAACGACCAGTGACCATCAGTGAAATAAAAGTGTAATGTAGGTGACGATTAAGAAAGGAAAATTTTCTGGTGGCAAACGTGAAACAAATATGTAATCTGAGTGACCAAACGTGAAAATCACCACGTTGTCTTTGTCCGGCCGAACATGAATTTTTTTTCCAATTAACACATTTTCCAGATTTAAACCCAACTCCCGCATTAAAATTTTAACAGGTTTGGGTAATGAGTGGGTTTAATGGGTTTTGGTCTCATATCGACCCACCCATTAAATAGCGAGTTGGTATAATTGTGACTCGTTATTCACCCACATTTTTCTGCAGATTGGGTTGTGTGGGTGGTGGATGGGTGCAGTTGAGTTGTGGTTAATCCGCAAAGGCAATTCTCCAACTATCCATTAAGAAAGTTTACTAACATTTATAATAAGTTCTTTGTAAAGTAGCAAGATTCTGACACATTCACTTTGTCTCGTATGAATCCATGTAGTATTTGCATTAATATTTTCAATATTCTATCAACCAATTGTGTAGAGAAATTTTGAAAACAGACACATTTTGCGGCTTTTATAAAATTAGTAGTTTATTATTTGCATCCAATACATAATGGATATTACACTAACCCATAATAGTAGTCCAAAAATATTTTTTGTTCTCGATTTTAGAAGTAGATGGTAAGTGTGTAGTGTGGTTAGGAAATACGAGGAATATTCAATAGCATAAGAAACAACATTTTATCAAGTGAAAATAGAGTGTTGATTAGGTTATTCGGGTGACCAGCAATCCACCCACCACTCACCTACATAAGTGTGAGTAGGAGATTATTTATCAATCCGCAATCCACCCACATCAATCACCCTTTGCTTGCAGATCGGATTATTTATAGGTGGATCGATATCAATCCGCTAATTAACTACCCACTTGCCCACCAAGGTGTGCATAATCAACAAAAGCGTTTAGGTTTCCAGAGAAAAAAAAATCTGAATTGAATTTAAATGTGGAGCACCATTACGAACCTTTTTCTTTTAATTTTCATGAACAAGAATAATGAGCAGCATTGGCCTTTAAATGACGCGTGTTTCTCTATGTTGGAGGATGCATAACCACTATAATTAGCTTTTTTTTTTTTTATTAATATAAGGTCTGACCATCTCCATCCAATTGCTTATACTTATTGCTTATTTAGTGGGATCCTAGGTGGCATCACTTTTAAGCAATTGCAAGGATGTGGGGTGCTTTCTTATAGCAAGATTGCTAAATAAGAAATTCATCTTGCAATGCCACATAGGATATCTTTTATTTTTCAATTACTTTTTCTTTCTTTGTTATGTGGTAAGAAATTGTATGGGTCCACTATTGGCAATTGCTTATTGGTTTTAGGGATGTAGGGGTTTGGAAATTATTGCTTGATTGATGATGTGGCGATAAGGGCCCACTTTAGAAATTACTTATTAATTGCAGGGATGGAGATGGTCTCAGATTGTATTAGTCTGTGGCTCTTTAAAAAAAAAAAATCATTCCAGTTTCTTTATCTCAAGTTCAGAAATTTAAACTTTTGACAAAACAGACACATGACCCTCCTCCAGATGGTGATGAATTGTTGATCACTTGTCCACAAGCTATATATTCAATTTCAATTGACTTATCTACTTTATTTGATCATGATGTCACAGCAATATAGATAAGAACTAGTCTGGTAACTATAAACGCTAGAGTACAAGAGTCAAATTATAATTGAACTAGTCGATCTTGGCTCTCTGCCAAAAGGAAATACAGAAATATCGGCTGGGTTCTCAGAATGTTATTGTTCACATAATTCAGGGGAATTTTTTTTTTTTTATAGAAAGCATGAATTTTGAGCTTTCTTCCTCTATATATAATATAATATTATAAAATGTCGAGTTCTTAAATATAAATAAATTTAAAATGACATGAAAAGATACAATTTATTTAGAATAAATTTATATTATTTGATCAAAATTATCTTGTAAAACAAGCCGAACATGTCTAGTACAACGAATGAGATCAAAATTGTCAACCTAATTCTATCTTTTCATCTGACTTGGGGAATATATTAACATCATTCCAGCTCACCAGCTAATTAATGTTGAGGGTCCTTAATCAATAGATTATGACTATTAACATCATCAAAGGGTTGCTTCAGAATTGGGATACTATTACTTTGGTTTATTCTTTCCCATCTTTTAGAGAAGGGAACCAAGCCCCTTCTCTTCTATACTAGAAAACGAATGGCTTTCCTTCTTGTGGATGGATTTGGAACGTGCTCAAATCAAAGGCCATCATCCAAACAGATAAGATAAATGTAGAACAGGCTGAAAGCCCAAAACATGGGCTGGTCCCAGCCCGAAGAATAGTGGGAAAATACGTGGGCCGCTGAGTTGGCATTACGGGGCGCAAAAGACCCGGTTGCTTGAGAATTGGGTTACTATTTGCATTGCCATCAGTTTGTAATGAAATGCTTTTGGTATATTCCCCTCTAGGGTGGCTATACGGTCCAGTCCGGTTAAATTGGTCAAATTGATCTGGTCCAGTCCGGTTTTTTTGAAAATATAAGGACCGAAGAATGGATTGGATACAGTCCGGTCTTGATCCGGTTCGGTCTTGACCCGGTCCGGTCCCAATTCGGTCTTGATTTTATATTGAGATTGTGGGAATTTGAGTGGCCTAAGGCCTAAAAGGGTGAGGAGTTGGTTAAGTTTTGTACTAAGTGCAAATGTTTGTGACCGTTTATGCAAATTACCCTTAAGTTTTGGGTGTTGAGCTCTCTTATTCGGTCTTTATCCGGTTTTTTACCTCAAATCTAAGCCCAAATATTGGATTGGATTGTTTACTGTCCGGTCCCGGTTCGGTCTCGGTCTGGGTTATACGGTCCGGTTTTCGGTTTTTCATCCGGTCCCGGTCCAAATAGCCAGCCCTATTCCCCTCCCCATTTAACTTATTAGTTAATGCCATGCCAGCTCCTAGACATGGCAATCGGGTCGGGATGGGGAATTTGGAGTTGGGGAATTCGGTTACGGGTCGGGTCATGTTTGATGGGCTGATTTCGGGCCAAATATTGACCCAACCGATTTGGTTTCGGGTCGCGTTACAGGTCATTTCAGGTTATGAGCGTTCTCAGAAACAATATCAAATATGCTTCATATTTTCTTAAAGAACACAAATTTTCACATATGCATGACAATGGCTTACCTAACACATGTCAATTAACATATTCCAAAATCCTCCGACGCTAATGAAACGAAATATAAAGTGCGCAAATCGTCAAAAAACAATCACAACAGTAATACTACTACAAGAAACACATGATATTTTATTATCTTTAAACTCCAAACATGTTATTCAAATCCTTGTGATTTTTTTTAACATCTCACAAATTTATGAGTGATTTTATCATATTTTGGGAGTGATATATAAAATGGAACGGGTCTAACAGGTCGACCTGATAACCCACCCAACCTGACCCAAAAAATCACGAGTTATTGGGTTTGGGTCATTCGGATTTCGATTCACAAAATTTTCTAGTTTTCGGGCGGTTTCGAGTTGGGTCAACGGGTCGGGTTATAATTTGCCAGGTCTACCAGCTCCTCACTCCATTACCACGTGTCAGACTCCCATTGCGCCGTTGCCAATTATCTCCCTAACCCACACGTCAAACGAGACATGGGCCGCGCCCATCTCAATTTTTAGTATTATACGACGAAAGCCCACCGGCCACCACCACACACCCAGACACCACAAATCCATGTCGACCGTCGCCACTCGCCAAATACTAACATTCGGGCAACTGATGTGGACGTCCTCTTACCAAATATCAAATTATAAAAACGCACAAACCGATAATATCAGTTCACATTAATGTCTAAAAACATTCAACACCTCAACCAAATTCCAAATTACCTGTTAGTATGGTGTAATCTTTGCGATATCAAAATATCATTGACGTATAACTTTTTTAATTAATCAAAATTCGAATTTACATAATGGTTTGGCTTTTGCAGTACTCGGCCGGGTCACAGCGAGTCCCGGTTCAGCCAACTAGAAAGTAATTTTAGTAACTCGCCGGGTACTCATTCTTCCTTCCATCTAGAGGTGGCAAATGGATTGGATTGGTGGATTGGTGGATTGGATTGGTGGATCCATGGATCAAATGGATTGGATCTAATGGATTGGTGGATTCATGGATTGGATCAAGTGGATTGGTGGATTATCCATAAATCCAAATGACATCCTCAACCAAGGACCAATATGTAAAATGTAAAAAGTTTAGGTACTAAAATGTCACAATGAAAAAATTTAGGTACCAAAACGTAATTTTCCAATGATATTTTTCGTATAAAAAATAAAATTTTAGGTACCAAAATGTAAAAAATAAAAATTATAGGTACTAAACTGTAATTTGCCAATGATCCATGGATCCAATCCATGAATCCACCAATCCAATTGGATTTGGATCAAATGGATTGGATTTAAATGGATTGGATTAGGTGGATATTTTTAATGGATTGATGGATTGGATTGGTGGATTGGATTGAAATTGCCACCTCTAGTTCCATCACGGCAGGAAAGAGAGAGACAATGAGGAACAGCACCGTTAACGCCACGTCATCGGCGTCACACTACATATCCCGCCACGTCACGGAACCTCCGGCGATTGAACCGGGAACAGCAGGGGTGGAATGGTAAATCAACCAGAGAAAAAAAGTAACAAATTTCTTCCGCGAGTAGAAAAAGGCCAGAGTGAGAAAAGAAAAAGGAAAAGGAAGACGCAGAAGAGGGAGGGAGAGAGAGAGAGAGGAACGTTGGCTTGTGGGAAATTAATAGAGGGGGAAGGGAATCCTCGGAACAGAAAATCCTGTAAGTGGGTTCTCTCTCTGTCTCTCTTCTCTGCGCCTTCTCCTTCTGCTGCTCCTCCATCGCCATCTCTCTCTCCTTCTTCGTGTCTCTCTCATCCTCATTCCGTCTGCTCCTTCTGTCACGATCGGGTGCTGAATGATCCAAGGGGAAGAAGTCGGAAGGGAAGGGGAATTCACGCACTGAGAGATTCTCCTTCTCAGTTTTCTCGGTTGCCAAACGGGAAATTGCCGACCTTTTTCCTTTTTTAGGGTTCTGGAATAAAAAAAATTTGGGGAATTTTTTGTTTCCTCCAATGACTTATAGAAGTGATGATGACAATTTGGTTCCGGAGCTGAGGATGCGAGTGGATGACGACGATGGCAATGGAGGAGACAGCGGGGGTGTTAATAATAAGATTGGGTATATGAGATTGAGAGGCGAGGATGGAGTGGAGGAAGATGAAGATGAAGATGAAGAAGAAGGGCTTGATGATGATGGTGGAGTGGGGAAACCAGGGTCTGGTTTCTTCTGTTGGAGGTGGAGATGGTGTGTCGTCTGGTATTGGGTCAAGCTCGCTGCTCTGTTTGCTTGTTTAGGTGGCTTGGGTTTCGTTGTGCTCAAATGGGTTGGACCCTACTTCATGGACAAGGTAATCCAGAGTCTTTTTTCCCCTCTTTCTCTGGTCTTGAATTCGTGTTTAGATGGTGATTAGTGTGTGATTTCAAGTGTTGTTTGATGGATTGTCGATTTCTCGTGCCTTCTAATTTGTGAATTGGAATGGTCAGTTGTTCTTCTTTCTCTGTAGTAGCTGAATTATTTTGCTTCCTTTCTGATTTTCGTGGATGAGATCCTTTTGTTGGACACCAAAATTAGTTTGTGCTGCCGACTAGAGTAGAAGTTTATTGTTGCCTTTCAACAAAAGTTTGGCCTTTCCTAAGCATCTTATGTATTCTGCAGCAAATCATTCCCATCATCAACTGGGAGACGACAACGTTTAGCACTCCAGTGCTGGCACTTCTTGTCTTCTTTTCAGTGGCATTCTTCCCAACCCTACTCTTGCCGTCTTCACCTTCTATGTGGGTGGCTGGAATGACTTTTGGTTATGGCTATGGATTCTTATTGATCATAGTTTCAATCACTGCTGGAATTTCACTTCCATTTTGCATTGGTTCTCTGTTCCTTCATAGAATTCAGGTAAGAAACTAGCATAGGTTTCTCGTAATCTCTTAATGGATAGGCGCACATTTCACTCTTTGATGTCTTGATGTGTCGCCATTTTCTGTCTGTTGCAGGGATGGTTTGACAAGTATCCGAAGCAGGCTTCCATACTGAGAGCAGCTGGTGAAGGGAATTGGTTCCACCAGTTTCGTTCAGTGGCTTTAATACGAATTTCGCCGTTCCCTTATATTCTATATAATTATTGTGCTGTTGCAACGCATGTCAAGTATGGTCCTTACCTGATGGGGTCATTGGTGGGCATGTTGCCAGAGATATTTGTTACACTCTACACGTAAGACCTCTTATCTGATATGATGTTTTCCCTTCTGCTTAATCCTGGATCCTCTTTTCTGCTTTTCCATGCCTGAATATTAAGTCTTAATACTCTTACGCATCTCTCATGGCCTGCCAATGTGAGTTATTTGATGAGACTGGTTATAGACATTAGGGACATGTCATTGATTGCGTGTGTTGGTAAAGTTTAGGCGTAGAATAACTGATTTGTTCTACTGGCCAGCATTTCACCTAATTATGAACTTCAATGTTATGGTTATCATGAGTCTTCTTTCGCTGACAGTATGCATATCAGTATACTTACGGTGGCATGCACTCTGTACTGTACCACTGTGGATTCTTTCAAGACCATGAAGTCACAAGGAGTTGTTAGACATGTATTAAGCTTAAATGGCCACTCTAGTTTTTCTGCAAATTTAGTTGTCGTAGGACAGTTAGAGAAAGCTCTGGAAAGGGTAGCTACTAGCTAAGTTAGAAGATTTGGAATATTCCAAAAAATGTGAACCATATTAGGTGGGTAACTAACAACTCTATGCTTCATAGATACAATCCTTTCATAGTTAACCTGAACAGTTGCCCTCCATTATCTTTAAAAATTAGTATTTACATGTGCTAGTGGGACCTGTATATTGACTAGTAATTCAAATATGGATGTGCTAACGAGTGGTATTTTGATCCAATTATTACAGCGGAGCCCTTATACAGACACTGGCAGATGCTTCACAGGAAGAGCACCATTTGTCAGCATCGCAGATTGCCTTCAATGTCCTTGGTTTCTGTTTCACTGCAGCCACCACGGTTTTCTTCACGCTCTACGCTAAAAGGCGACTCAAGGCACTGCAAGATGAACCTCTTTTGGCATAGCTTCTTCCAGTTCTTGTTGCCCAGTCCAGTAAAGGAGAGAGAGATGTTGCAGCAGCTCCACAAAACAATCACAGCAGTTTGCATATATATTTTTGAGATGATTGAAGCAGCAGCAGGATGATGAAAGTTAGCATCTTGTTGAAATAACTTCATCTGTCCACAAAGGTGCACAGTGCGAAGTCGTGATCATCAATGGTGGTGTGTATAGCAGCATGGGAAAGGAAATATAAAGGACATGCATATCTAACCTAGTATAGAAACCAGCTTCATTTGCTTGTTTTGCATTTGCTTCCAATCTGAGTGTAGTCTCTTCCAAATTCTTTATTCCCTCTCACCCCCAATTGGTCCTTGTATATGATTGAGATGTAATAAGGGCTGAACCTGGAACTTATGCAGAACTCTGCTGGATTTGTGTACCAAGTTCTATGTGTGCAAATTATGCAGACGGCAATGGTTCAGCTATCTGTTTAAGTGGATATAGCTTAACTCAATCCAACAACTGACCAACTGAGCCCCTATGTTTGTCCCTTGTAAACCTTTCTGGGATCCAAAGACATTTACTTCTCATCCCTCACGATAACTGTAGTCCCTTCATAATCCCCGACAGTAAAAGGTTGAAATAGCGACTCGAGTAGTTGGGATGAATTATTTGTTAATGTTTCATTTTGCAATAACTATACGAATCATTGGAATCAATTATTTGTCATTTGTTGATGGATGCCTAGTGGTGTATTCAAATAGGCTGCTCGATAAGTGGAGAGAATGTTTTGATTCTCAGACGTACCAGAACTTGCAATGATTGCAAGGACCATCAATACAGCCAGCCGAGTCGTTGTGGTTGATGGAGTTTTTGCAACCAAATTTGCACCGGAATTGACTTGCCTTTGCCTTTGCCTTGTGTATTTTGTCTTTGTGCAGGCGTACCGTGTGCGACTTGGGTGTAGAGTTGGTGAGAGAAATGGGCTGACCAGGCCTGGATGGACGGACAAGGGTATTGGGTTAAAACTTATTGCGAAATATTTGTTCTTCGACAGTTCGATGTCAACCCAATAGTCTGAACTTCCTTCGGTTTTGGAGAAAAAAAAAGGTCTGAACTTCCTTTGGGCTTGCCAGCCCATAAAAGCAACGCACTTTGTAGGCCACGCGCCACCGCGCGCCGGCACTTTGAATAATGAATATGTTTGTAGTCGGAATACAAGTAACTGTAAAGTGTAACGAATTAACGATAACTGAACTTTATTGAAGTTGGAACTAAGGATTTGAAATCAAATTGGAGGTTATATCTCAAAGTTAGGAATAGTGTATTTTATATTAAATTATGATTTAACTGTAATTCATTCGTTTTATATCGATTTGGAGTACGATACATGATATTCCCAATCCAACTAAACGATGAATTATGATTTCTAAAACATAAATCGGAACTAATAAAGAAATGATACGACAATAACACAATTTTATAATGATGATTCCCTCCGACATTAAATATCATAATCATTTAAAAAGTTTCTTCAACTATAATATTCGACTTTGGCCCCTTTTAAAAAATCATTTTGCCAATGATTTTGAGTGTAAGCCTAATAGTTTAATTTAGAAAAGCACTTGATGGCACCGAACAAGTACAATACAATTTTAACCCACTTCGTCGATATTCCGACATGCAATGGCGGACCTAAATGTAGGTAAGGTGTGTCGTCCGACACACTTTTGTTTAAAAATTTTGTGAGACACTTGTATTTTTTCGATACAAAAACATTAAATTCAGGACCCTCGACACACATTTGATAGTTGTCACCGACACACCTTTATTATACTACGATAAATTTATTGTTATAAAGTTACTTTAATATGTAAATATCAAAGTTGTCAATCCCGGTCAATCAAGTAGGTTGAGGATTAATGGTTCGGTTGGTTTAGTTTGGATATATGAAAAATTCATTATATTGTTCATACATCTATAATTTATATAAAATCTCCTTTCCACTTTTTGCTCTCTTTTTTTCAATTTTAATCTTGATTATCTAAATTGAAAAAATGTGTACTTTCGTTTTTAACTTCTATTTATTCTTTGTTAATTATAATGTAAGACAAAATTTTATTATATTAGATAAATTGATTCACTTTTGATTAATTAATTTAAATTATGAAATTTAGAAAATCAAGTACACATACACATAGTATCGTTTCGGAGATTGGAATCCATTCGGGACGATATGGAGATGAGGATTAAGATTAATCTAGTATCGTTTCTATGTATTTTTATTACGCGTGTTTACATGAAATAGTAATTGTGTTATGTACGTTTGTTTATTTGAAATTGTGATTGTATTATGTAAATTATCATTATCATTTGCAATTGTGATTGTGTTACGTAATTATTTGATACCACTTAAATTGGTAAAATAATATAGGTTAGATAAAATGTATAGTTGTATTAAGAAATAAGTTGGACCCACCATTTGAAATAGATAGTGGATTTCATTGATGTAGATGAAATGGAAATTATATGTAGTGGAAATGAAAAAGTTGATGATGTACAGTAGGGGCCACATATGAAATAGAATTGATATTTCATGAATGTGGATGGTTGGGTTTGTTTGCTTGATGGATTTGGTGATGAATTTGGATTCATGATGGACTTTGTCCAAAATTCATTGTTTGCTTCAAGTATTTAGATATAACAAATCCGTGGGTCTCATGGACTTGAAAATCCCACCACTTTAGGTGGGAATTGATCATGGACTTTGAAGTCCATCATTTTTTACCAACCTACCCATCATATTCTCTTTCTCTTTTTATATAATTGAGGGCAATAAATATAAATTACACTTCATACATCATGAAATCCATCAAACAAACAATTGTGTTTATCAAATCCATAATGAACTCAAAATCCTCGTATATCCATGATTTTTCAAAAGTCAAGTTATACAAAAGCCTTCATTTTTCAAATCCACTATGCAAACCAACCAAGTCATATTGGACTATGGAGCCTGATCCAGTGTGGACCACAAAAAAAGAGGACGAGTTGCCAGGTCGGCATTAATTCGTGGCGGGAATTGGGATCACCGTCGGATGCATTTAATAAAGAAGTAGGAAATAAAAGGGTGGTCATGATGGACCCACGCGGACATTGTGAATGAACCATGGACCACGATGGAGTGGACCACTTTCCTCTAGTGGGGGCATCGGACAGACAAATTGGCACACAATTTATCCAGCCGCACACTCCCCTCATTTTAATCCAACGGTCACAATTCCGGCGTTTTCCCATTACGTTAACTTTTGTGGGTCCCACACCCTCTTATTAAAATTTCGGCTGGGTACCTGTTTTGTTCTATTTTTCACCCTTTCGTTCTTTGACCTATTTCACTGTTCTATTCTCTCCCTCTTGTTGTCTAATGCAATTTTCTTAAGAAAACAATAATCAAATGTAATGTCTGCAGTGCACTCTGCTGTTTAACACCAGAAACCCACAAACCTTACTCACTGTGATCATTTTAGAATGGGCAAGGTGATTGATTCGATATAATTCATGATAATGCATGACTATAATTCGAGGATAAAATGAGTGATTGATTCAATATTTTAATTGACATAGATTGATAAATTTGCAAATTGTTAGGTGACGAGGACGGAGCATAACATAAGCACTGACATTATATTAATTTCATATCCATCTCTCCTCAATTAGTTGGAAAAAAAATATATTTAAACCTTTAGCAGCTTCCAAATGTGATTAGTGGCTAATGGATACATATAATTTTATGTATTGATGCATGACTGATAGAGTCATATAGCTAAACACCAGAAGTACCCGACCAGCAGGACAAAACGAAAAGAGCCAAAAAGAAATTCGAGGAGTAAACAAAAGACAAGAACAAAGGAACGTTCCTCAGTTCAAACACTTCAAAAGTTACCAAAGCAATGAATGAAAGAAACCTATCAAACCCCGCCCTAAAAAACAGTGAAAGTTACAATAATGGATTAAGCTCCAGTTTTAAACACTTTATGGATGTGAAAATATAGTGCAGTAATTGGACCCAATTATCACATAATGCAGTAATTTGGTTAAAATCCCACGTTTGGAAGAGCAAAAAGAGTATGGGAATTGGACCATGGAAATTGGCTTCAATTACCACATTCATGGTAATTGAGAATACTACACCTCCCTCTAGTAATTTCACATTACCACGTTTTCTTGCTTCTTTTTCCAAATATGTCCCTATTTCCTTCCTCTCCTTTCTTCCTTACTCCTCTGATTTCTCCAAACTATTTATTACAAGAGTAGTCCCTTCTTCATTCATCAATGACGCCTCTTCTTCCTCATCTCCCCTCACCTTCGCATATCTTCTCTAATCCATCATCGATTTCTTAATTTTGAATTCGCTTAATTATCTCATTCACCGTCAATATTTCTGCTTCTCCTCATCGAATTCGCCTAAACACGTATAAAAGCCGTATAACACGTTTAATATCTATATTTAATGAATTAAATTGTTAACTTTACTATTATTTATATATGTATTTATTATTTAAATAATTAAGCTTACTATTATTTATTATTAAAATAATTAAGTTTATATATTTATGACTATTAATGTACTATTAAACGTAACATTAGCTTAAAGAAGAAGTAAAATATCTGTAAGTATTTTATACGTAACTTTTCTGTACCATATTTTACTAATTATGCTAAAGTTAGCTCCAATTAGTAGTAAGTAGAACACAACAACAACCTTTAGGAGGGGTATGTATATATATAAACAAAAGAGGGCATTTTTGTATTTTTACCAAATTTCACACCATCAATTCCCCCAAAACTAAACTCTATCCAAACGTGGAATTTCGTTCAAATTCTACAAGTCAATTTCTTGGTTTTGTAAAACATGGAAATTCAGGCAAATTCCCACATTTTCAAATTTCCACATCCAAACGATCCTAGTGGGTGGTTCAAATTACCAAGAATTATGCTTTTTTCTGCATCAGGCCATGATTTTTGTCTAACTTGTCATAAGAAATATTTTTTTTGTGATATTTATGAATTGTTATCTACTATTAATAATACATTTTAAAAAATTTGCTTTGCTCCATTTCAAATTTGCGATGATTCGAACCATAGTCTAGTTAAACAAAGACAAGTATCATAATCAATTACACTAAACAAATATTTGGTATATTTTTTTGTTGCAAAACATACAAGCAACTAAAAATCTAAAAAACAGATGACCTTTCAATAACGGCTAGCTAGCCCACTAAGTTTTCTATAAATATCTTTATGGTTGTTAACTCTTTGATTTTATGTTGATTTTTCATATGTTCATTCTATTTGAATAAATTTATTTTATTGTGTATTATAAATTTTGATTCTATAATACTTTTTTGTGATAAAAGTGATAGAGATGCACACCTGATCACTAATCCCCACCAAGACATTAATTTTTTTTTTAAAAAGGACGGAGAGGTGGTAGACCCAATTTTAATCTAACCCGTCATTGATATTCAATGCTTATATTTTCTCTAATATTTATGTCAATTTGGAGTGTCAACAATAAATTATGATTTCATAGTAATTAAATTTGTGAGAAAAGAGATGTAGACGCACCACCTTCTCTTACGAGAGTCAAAGATTAAATCCGACCATCAATCTCCACCAAAATATTGAAAGAATAAACAAATTGAAAATAAA